AATCCCCAGCACCTATAAAAACAAATCCTGGAAAGGTGTGGGAGTCTTTAACCCAGGCAAGGGATGAGGGACACAAAAGGATCCTGAGAGCTGGAAGCTCAGCAAGCCCGTCACAAAGAGAAAAACACCTGATATTTCACTCTGGCATCCATATGTGCATACATGGTTGTACAACCTGACACTGACACACACACACACACACACACACACACACACACACACACACACAGAAAAGCACAAGCAACCCATGTAGAGCAATGTCCACCATCAACTGACTTGGTGAAATGGTGTGGTAGTTTGAATAACCACTGGGTAGGTTTTGGTGATGCCAAACACGTGTCCCCTGTGAGCCAGCTTCTGGAGGAATGGAAAAATACAATATGGGCCAAGCACCCCTTATCTGAAACCTGAAATCTGAAACTTGAGAACACTGAATTTCAGATCCAGGCACTCACCTGCCCCACACTGAGGGAAGTGGCTTTACTCAGGACATGAGATGAGATCCTCCAAGAATCCTCAACCTGTGAGAGAACTCCACCCTGGATCAGCCCTTCTGAGAGCCATTCAGTCACAGGAGAAAGCAGCAGGCTAATGTGACCATGACAGTAGACACTCAAGACTCTAGCCAGATCCAGGGACCACCTGCTGGGGTACCAGAACCAAAACGCCTTGTGTAGACACAGGGGGGCGCTGTGGCCAAGCCTTCAAGGCAGCAGCAACAGCAACAGAATGAACGGAAGCAGGGATAAGTAGCTTGGGGAAGCTGCCTGCAGGGTGATGTGAGAATCTCTTCCCTCAAGCCAGACTCCAGTCACAGACCCAGGAACCCTGGGAACCCTGGTCCCCTTCCCAGGGCATAGGCCAGGCCGAGGAGAACACAACATTCTGATTATCATACACCAGATCAAGAGCAGGGACTGACCTTGTCTTGCTCAGCAGTGCACCCTGACCTAACAGACAACGGGAACCTGACTGTCTGCTCCAGGGAAGGTGTCACCACAGGGATGAGCCTGCAGTGACTCCACTCTCCAGAGCACTCCCCGACCTCAGTGTGTTTCCCTCATTCCCGCTCAGCACTGCAGCTTTTGGAGTGCTGGGGACACGTGTGGGGTGCCGGGAAGACCTGCTAGCCTTGCTTACTGACGGTACAAATGATACACAAGAAGTTGCAGAAGTGAAGGCCACTGAAGTTAGACATTTCACACCGTTCTGAGTGGGATGGCAAAATCCCCCATGCCAGCTGTGCCTGTGACCCTCACCAAATGCCCGCTGTCAGTGCCCATCTCTCTGGAGCCACCTGGGTTCTGGAGGGGATAGTGCTGGAGGACAGAATGACAGAAGAGACCCCAAAAGTGGCAGAGAAGGGGGGAGAGGCCCAGGACATGGAGACTGACTAACACTGATAGCACTCTGGCCAGAGACTCGTGACTGTGCCCCAGGCCTGGAGGCTGCAAAGGCACCTGGTAAAGGCCCTCCAAGGTGCCCCCCATTCCCACCCACTCACAGTGGCTCCAGGGGTAAAGGACTCCATTACCTTCTTCGTTTTCTTCTCATAATCCAGGTACCTGGACCCAACCACTCTTCCTCCTGTAGACAACACAGTGTTTGTCACAGAACGTGAACACTGCACCACGAAGACACGGAGCATGACCAGGACCCCACAATGGAGAGCGGGGACCACTGGCTCTTCATGTTCAATGACAGGAGGAGCACCAGCCCTCTGCTCCCTGCAGAAGGCTCCTTCAGCCTCCCCAGGTATGCACAGGGCAGCTACTGCATGCAGAAACCTTCATAGGACACTTAGTGTTTACAAGACATTTGTACAACACCTCTTGTACGTGCGTCCTTGGAGCAGGAGCAAGTTTTCAAGATCAAAGACAGGAGCATTCTAGAAAGTGAAAGCCTGGGGCCTGTGGGATGGCTCATTGGGTAGAGGGCTTGCCACCAAGTCTGATGGCCTCACCCAGATCCTAGGACGCCCATGGTGAAGGAGAAATGACTCCCAAGAGCTGTCCTCTGACCTCTACGTGTGCAGCCCCTCATCTCGAGCAAGTACGAGTCATTTTCAAAGGGAGCAGGAGAGATGGCTGTACGGTTGAGGGCTTGTTGCTCTTGCAGAGGACTGGTGTCCCCGCACCCACACGGAGGCTCACAACTGTTGTAACAGCGGTTCGGGGGAGTCACTGCTCTCTGGTGTCTAAGAGCATCTCCGTTCAGGCGCACATAACCGCTCCCACCCACCCAAACCAAACAAAGCAACAAAATACCATCTTGGGTCCGACCCACCCTGGGGAGTCCACCTCTGTTTTATGCTTCACCACAGTAAGGCTTGGCTCACTGCTGAGGTCTTGCTTTTCCCACCTTCCTGTTCTTTAAATCAGGAGAGAAGAAAGGCCCATTCCTGTAACCCTAACTGATACCATCATCATGGAATAGCCATGTTGGCATGGATTTGAGGCTTTCTCGCCTGAGATCTAGCAGAGGCTCTGAGAGCACAGATAAAGGATTTAAAAGGCCCAGCGAGAGTTTGCCTGGGGCTTGTACCAGGAAAAAGCTTGGAAAATGCAGCCGAGATGTAGGGATCTGACCCTGGTTCAGTTTAACCCTGTTGAGCCTGCAGCCAAGACAAATGGACCCACTGGCCCATGTGCCGGGCCAGATCTCAGATCCTGCTTGCTAGCCACGGAACACTCTAGACTCTCCTCACAGCTGCCCCCGTGCTTCTCAATTAAATGAAGTTACCGGATGAAAAGGAATGGCAGTCACGCTGAAGACAGGCGAGCCCCAGCAGCCCAGGAACAGGGAGCAGTGCCCATGGCTCCTGCGTCCTGCATGGTCAGTCCCCGTGTGGACTCTTTCCCACTGGGAGTGGGAGGTCTATGTCCATGCTCTTCCTCCTCCGTCCACTTCTGCCTTCATCATGGGTGGGACCCTCATGAGACTCACACAAATGCAGGCCCCCTTGGCGGAGGCTGAGCCTGGGCCTGTCCCAGTGTTAACGAACAGGCAGCACGCAAACACGTCAGAGGTTACAACAAGCCCGCCAGGCTGCGACCACTCAGTGCACTTGTCTAGCGTAAGTGAGGCCCTGGGCTCCATCCCCACGACTAAACCCCCACCCCACAAAGCCCCACCGGGTCCAGTGATCACGGTCACCCCGGAGGGCCTGAGTCAGCCCACAGGGCCCCTATGGTGCAAGGGGAGAAACAACTCCCCAAGTAATGTTTGACCCCCACATGTATGGCATTCCTGCTCCTGCCATCCCCCAAGTAGAATTTAAAACAAAACGAAACAAAAGAAGAAAATGAGGCTGAGGAGTACTGGCTGCTCTTCCAGGGGACCCGAGTTTGGGCAGCTCACCATGTTTCTGGATGGAACTTGTGTCCCCAGCACATCCAGACCTACACCTTCTAAGGGACCTGTCCCAAGAGCCCGATGCCATGGCAGAAGGGACTCCAACAGTCAAAGGACACCTCGGTGACAAGGAGGACCCTGAGTCCCCAAAGGCATGCCACTGAGCAGTGAAAGCTTCAGTTTCTGCCCCCTCCCCCCAAGAAACCCCTTTCATGAACATTTATCATCCCAGCCCTCAGGAGGTTGAGGCAGGAGCATCAGGAGTTGACAGGCAACCTGGGCACCATGAGACTTTCTCGGAAAACAGAGCTAGCAGGAAGGTTCAGCATGTAAGGCGCATGCTGTCCACCTGGATGTTCAGTCCCTGGCCCTCCATGGTAGGACAAACAGACTCCCACAAGTTCCTCCGACTTCTATCCTCACGATACGGCATGCACACCCCTCCAAGGAGATAAACATGTAATAAAAAATTAAACAAACAAAAACTGCTAATGAGGACAAAACAAAACTTCCCTTAAAGTGCTTACCTTGTACTCTCCTTCCCTTTGTCTTGTGGGCACCAGTGACTGTGGGCTTCCTACAAGAGAGCAGAGAGAGATGTGTTGTCCATCCAGCTGCAAGAGCTCTGCAGAGGAGAGCCGCCTTTTGCCAGCTGGAGCTGGGCATGTGATGGCCTCCCTAGGATGAGCAGGAGGTGGCGCCTCCACAGGAAGAGCACCAGCTTCCTCCTGAAGACGGTGAACACTGCTCATGAGCTGCCCTCACTTCTTGGACACAGGGATCGGAGCTTCCCCTCCAGGGCAAGTTCCCTGTCTCAGGCTGACAACAGCTGGACAGCAGTGAGGGCTTAGGAAATGGATGGGACAGGATTTTCAAGGCCACACACAGCACAGGGGCTGGAGCAGACATGTCAGCAAGGTGGACAATGGGAGGCAGGCAGTGGGGAAGAGCCCTGCAATCGGAACTCTCCAGATCGTCCCTGTAGCTCCAGCAGTAGGGATGAGGTGACAGGACAGGGGACTATGACACAGCCTTTCTCCGCAAAGGGCCACTTTTCTAGGCTCTCAGTCACCGTCATGAGCAGCAACTATTCAGCTTTACTGTTCTAACACCAAGGCTGACACAATGGGTGGACCACGTGCACAAAACTTTACAGCACATTTGGTTCACACAATGTTCATGTGCCACAAAAGAATGTATTCTTTTAGTATCTTTTATTTTTACTTATTTATTTAGTGTATGTCTGTGTGGTGTTTGTGTCACAGCCTGTGTGTACCACAGTGCCTGTAGAGAGGTCAGGGGACAATCTCAGTGAAGGTCACCTTTCACCTTCTCATCCATGGCTGCCTAAGCCAGGCTAGCCCGTCCTTGCAGTCCTATGTACTCTTCCGGTTTGGCCTCCCATCTCCCTGTGGGGTGTGCTGGGATTATAGACACCAGGCTAGCCCGACCTCGCACTCCAGGGGACTCTCCTGTTTGGCCTCCCATCTCCCTGTGGGGTGGGCTGGGATCACAGACACCAGGCT